GAGAGAGGCAGAGTGGCACAGAAGGAGGGTGTTGGGTGTCCTCTACCTGTGGTCTTTCGCATAAGGACTTTACATGATGGCAACAGCAGGGGCTCTGCCAGAGCTCTGTTGGCCATACAAGACCGTGCTCTCACCAACAGGGGCAGCCGCTGCTTTTAAGAGGCTATGAAGCTGGGCATGGTAGGGCTCACCTGTAGCCTCATAATTCTGAGAAGCTATCATAGTTGCCTCCTTGTTTCTGGGACAAGATACCTAACACCCATAAGCTAAAGGAGCAAAAGATTATTTCAGCTCACAATTTGTGGAGGTTTCAGTTCACATTTAGCTCACTCCAAGGCAGGCAGGAAGAATCCAGCAGTGAGTTTTCCTTTCCCTTCCATGCCATTCAGGCTGTAAGCACGTTGGTTTGGCCGTGGTGTACCTTCCCATTATCCACAATGAACTATGCTAAAACAATCAGTGGACTGATTTTGTTATCACATACCCTTAATCTATATTCATACATGTTATGGTTCATGTATAGGTGTCCCCCAAAGCCTCAAGCAGTCTGGAGTTTGTGACTGACTTTTTTTTCTTTTTCTCTTGGAACCAGGGATTGAATTCAGGCCCTTGCCCTTGCCGGGGAAGTGCTTATTCTACTGAGTCATCTCCCTTGGGCAGTGATTGATTATTGTGAGTGTGGGGCTGCACCTGCCCTGGGCCAGATAATTTGCACTACAATGTAAGGAGGGGAGAGGCCTGCTAGCTGCCTGGGCTGCTGCTCTTCCCTTTGCTCTTGCTTTTTGCTGCCACCATGAAAAGTTGCTCTCTGCCATGTGCCACTCTGCCTTAGAGCCAGCGGAGTATAGACTGAAACCTCCAATAACTATGAGCTAATAAGCCTTTCCTTCCTTCATTTTGGGCATCAGGTATTTGTCCTAGCAATGAGAGAAGAGTAACCTAGACAATACATCCCAGATCCAGCTATCTCTGAAAAGTCCCATCTATGAACACATGAGGCTTTAGGTGACATTTAGATACACACCATAACAGAAACTGAGGTAAAGGATTATAAGTTCTAGCCCAGCCTGGGCAATTCACGATTCTCAAAACAATTTAAAAGGCCTGGGGATGTAGCTCAGTGGGAAGGCCTTGGGTTCAGTCCTCAATACTGGAAAGGAAAAGAGTATGAGACTAGTAGGCATCGTTCAAAGAGGACTAAGTGATACTCAGGCCGGATGCACCCCCGGATCTCCAGAAATGGCCAGAGTATCAGCTTTCAGTCACTGTGACAAATTACCTGAGAAAAGTATCTTAAAAGAAGATTTACTTTGGCTCATGGCCTCAAGGGTTTTAGTCCATGGCTACTTGGGCTCATTGCTTTCAGACCTGTGGAGAGGCAGAAATACCAGGGCAGAAACTTATGGTAGAGGAAACTACTCACCTCTCAGCAGTCAGGAAGCAAAGAAGGAGAAAAGGCCTGAAATCCTACTATCACTTCCTGCTCCCTGCCCCAGCCATGACCTGATTTCCTTCTACTAGGCCCCCCCTCCTACAGGTTCAATCACCTCCTACTGTCATCTTAAGGCTACTGACGAAGTCTTCAACACATGGCCTTTGGGATGATACTTAAGATTCAAACCATAACACGAGTGAGAGTAGCATAACACGGAGTGAGAGTAGCAGTGGGGATGTGGACGGAGATGGGGTCCTTGGTGTTGAG